CCAAATTCTTCCTCAGCCCAGGGAGTTCCTGTGGCCTTGGAAAGAATTTCCTTTCCTGCCTGAGATATTTGATGCCTGGTGTCCCCTCTGATTCTTCCCCTTTGTTGGGCAGCTCAGTTTACTGTCATGGGACCAGCAGATCCAATCCTGGCCATGGTGGGAGGCAACATCACATTAAGCTGCCACCTGTCTCCCGAGAAAAATGCTGAGGACATGGAGGTGCGGTGGTTCCGGTCGCAGTTCTCCCCGGCGGTGCTGGTGTACAAGGGTGGGCTAGAGAGAGCAGAGGAGCAGATGGAGGACTACCGAGGAAGAACCACCTTTGTGAGCAATGACATCAGCAGGGGGAGTGTGGCCCTGGTCATACACAACGTCACAGCCCAGGAGGACGGCTTCTACCACTGTTACTTCCAAGAAGGCAGGTCCTATGATGAGGCCATCCTGCGCCTCATGGTGGCAGGTGTATCCTGCACCTCATGGTGGCAGGTGCGTCACTTTATCTTGCTTTGTTGCCTTTGCACAGTGTTCCTTTTGAGGAAACCTTCTCTCTTAACATTGGGCCCATTGCAGACCAGCAGATTTTTGCCTGGAATGCCCTTTATGCGGGGAGGGTGGCTTCTTACTGCCCAAGGGCCACATGAGTGGGTTTTCCCTGCTAAGCTGTGGGCATCACTGCTTGAGAAGCCCACACGATCTCAACTGAGGCCCTGGGCAGGAGAGAGTGGTTAATCCCTGCAGATTATTCTTGTACCTGCCTTATCATTCAAACTGTGCCCTCTTGAGAGTGACAGGAGGCACTGTCAGGCATTGCACTTGCCAAGTGGAATAAACAAGGACTGCCCAGAGAAGGACATGTGCACGTCCAGTTGTTGATAAATATTCATCTTGCCTTTGTCCCTTCCCCCAAACACTGATTGTAGTGAGAGTGGCTGACATTTAAATAGATGATTTTATTAAAGCAAAATGAAGTACACAGGCAAACTTATGTACTAGGCCTGGTGGCCCCACAGAGAAAACAAGGAGAATTAGGCTGGGATGAATTTGTCAAGGCTTTGCAATAGAAGTGGCATTTGAACTGGTATTTCCAGGAGTTTATCAAAAGAGCTTTAAGGGATGACCTCACTCCTGGAGACAATGCATTATTCTTTAGAAGAAATGTTTGAAGACTGGAAAGCCTTTAAGACTCACAAAAATCCATGGTGGTATTTCAGTCCATCAGACCAGTAAAGGTGAGGTTTGGGGACAGTGCAACCTAGCCATGGGTGGGGGTGTCAAATTATAAGTGGTAGGAGACTCCATCTTTGTTACTTGCAACAGCAACATTATACATGATTAATAGAGAATGTCGGGGAAGGAGGGTTTTTTGACCCTTGTGTCCTGACTCTGTTGAAAGCAGTACTTACCGGTTTGCCAGTTAAGATTTGTGTGTGGCAGGAACCCTTTCTTCTTTCCCTGTAACCATGACCCTGGTGTGGCCTATCCCATTCTGAATGGAGTTGTTGTAGGATTTTTTGTTTGTTGTTTTTTTGTTTGTTGGATTGTTTGGCTGGCTGGTTCTGCCTTTAAGTCTGTTGTCTCACACTTGCCCTTATTGAACCCCATGAAATGTTTTGCAGAACTTTTTTGCAATTTGCTGAGTTATTTTAATTCTTATTCTACTTGAAGTTTTCTTTCTGAGCCTTTAAATGTACAACTAGATTTGTTTTTCTCTTGGGAAAATCACATTGAACAAGAAGCACTAGACTAAAGTGATTGCTTTAATTTTCTGTCTTTGGTATAAGTTGTTGGGGAGGCTTTACAAAGGAATTACTCAATGGAAGTTTGGATAGTCGCACACGGCTGAACGGCCTCCCAGCGCCATGCCTCTGCAGCTCCCTCACACCAGGTATTCGCTTTTATTAAAAGTTGTTTTAAAGATAGAAGATAGTTAGGATGAGTCTGGATTCCTAGGATATTTGGTGATAATCTTTTGACATTGAGAATGTGATGGGGAGGGTGGTTGGCTTGTATGGGGATCTGAACCCTTGACCCTGTTGTTACCAACACTGTGTTGTAACCAAATGAGCTAACCAGCCAACCAAGAATGTGACATTCTTATCTTGAGGATATTCCAGGACCATCCAGATCTTTCTAATACATTGATGTTCTCAAAGGACTATAAGAAAATTACCTAATTGGCTGAGCCCCTGGGGGGTAAACTGTGAATCAGGGTAAGGCTTGGCTTTGCAGGCCAGTTCTGTCCATTCTCCTAGGAAGCACCAGCTCCTGTGGGTAGTAGATAGCAGTGGTGCTGTGAAGCCCTGAACCTGCATAGAAGGGACACTGTCTTTTGTCATGAGGTTTCTTAATATTCTGTCAGCCTGGCAGGTGTCTGTCCTTGCTGTATTATTCTAGAGATTTAGGAAACCCCGTGTACTGAGAAGTCATCCCAGGAGGAGAAAATGAAATCCTAAACCTGCCCCTTTCATGTTAAACTGGACATACCCCCCCAGAAGTGAAAAAAATGATAGTGTTTGGCAGAACAAATTGAACAACAAGCATTTATCATAGACAGAGAGACGCTTGCTGCTGTGATGGGGCCTGTAGGTGGAGCACAGTGAAGAGTGTCCAGTGTGATTTTCTCCTCAGGGAGCTCACAGTTTGTTTCTCCTATGGTGTCACTTTGTTCTCCAGTATCAAGGTTCATTCTTGCTTCCTTCATCCTTCCTGTCCTCCTTCCTGTTTCTTGGTCCCTCTTTTCCTTCCTTCCTTTGTCCCTTCACAGAGGGGTCCTGTGGGAACGCTTGGGACATGCACATTCAGGTTGGCTGGGTGCAGCCCACTTGCTCTCTCCCCCTTCACTGGATGCCCACCATTAAGAGCTGCTCTAGGACAGATTGGCTGGGACACCCCTGCTTTTGTAGCTGAGCCTGGTCTGTCCCCTCAGGCCTGGGATCTAAGCCCCTCATTGAAATGAAGGGCCACGAGGACGGGGGCATCCGGCTGGAGTGCACATCTGGAGGGTGGTACCCTGAGCCCCGTGTGGTGTGGAGAGACCCCGATGGTGAGGTCATGCCCGCCCTGGAGGAGGCTTACACGGCGGACGCAGACGGCCTCTTCACGGTCACCACGACTGTGATCATCGTTGATTCCTCTGTGAGGAACATGTCCTGCTCCATCAACAACACGCTGCTCGGCCAGAAGAAGGAAACTGTGATTTTCATCCCAGGTCAGTTCTCTGCCCTCTGGAGACTCAGCCTATGGAGGCAGATCCTCAGCAGACAGACTGTAGCCCAGAATGGGGAATGGGGGTGCGGGGGAAGGGTCCTGGGCCCTGAAGAGCTGGAGGCTAAAGCTGAGCTGAGGCCTTGCCCCCTGTCACAAGGGGAAAATCCAGTAGTCTCAGACCACATGAGTAGGAGCCTCTTCTCTCAGGGTAAATCTGATCTTTTTCCCTGATAGAGTTCTTGTGCTGTAGCAATTTTTAAACATCCAGAACATCAGAAAACACAGAGTGTGGCATAGGTGGGTGTCTATCTACACCTGGAGGTGCTGTCTGTTGAAGCCCTCCCTTTCTGCCCATGGGATTTCCCAAGGGACAGAGCTGGGGAAATTCCCCATCCACAGACATCGGTAAATTCATTCAACAAGTACTTTACACACATCTCCTCTGTTCATGGCACTGTTCCAGAACCGGAGATAAATCACTGAACAAAATTCACCAAGTTTGCAGCCCCCATGAAGCTCATATTTTCAAGGAACAGAGAGCAATAGATGATACAGTTAACTTAAACAAGTGATTAAATACTCAAACTAGGTATTATATATCAGATGTTGATGAATACTGTAGGAAAATCAAACAAGGGGGGCTAGGAGTTGTCAGAGTCATGGGGTGAGCCATTAGTAGCAGCACAGTCAGGAAGATGTCACTGTAAAGATGGGAACTGAGCAGTCAAGAGATCAGCCAAGGAGATGCTGGAGAACTGAGAACCCAGGAATGGGAACAGCACATGCAAAGGTCCTGAGGTGGGGACATTTCTGCCAATTTTGAGGAAGCCAAAGAGGTGATATTGATATGGCTGGAACAGGGTGAGTGAATGCAGGAATGGGAAGAAATGAACTCACAGAAGTGAAGAGACCACACTACACGTGGCAACACAGGCCACACACAGGCTTAGGAATGTAGTCTGAGTGAAATTGGAAACTTTGGAGGTTCTGCGCAAAGAATTGACATGATGTCACGTTCGCTGCTCAGCTGAGAATGGCTGAAGATGGTACGGGCACAGCGAGGAGGAGGGCATTGCACTCTCCAGGCACGGGGTGATGGGGCTTCTTCCTGGGCGCTGGCTGTGGTGATTCAGCATGCCTGACGAGCCGTGATTACCCGGTCCTTCCCATGCTGACTCCAGAGGGTTCTGCTCTTCTATCTCCTGGGTCCCAGCCCTGGCAGTCACTGTGGGGCCAGACAGGGCAGAGCCAGCGTCACTTTCTCCATCTGAGGTCTGAGGCAGATGCTGACAGAGCAGGGACCTGAGGGAGCTCTTCAGATGTGCTCCTGAGGGGCGCCCTCAGCCTGGCTCTCCTGTTTCTTGCTAAGTGGAATTTTTTCTGGCTCACTTTTCAGAATCCTTTATGCCCCACACAATTCTCTGGACAGTGGTCCTGGCTGTCTTTCTGGCTATTCTGATCATCATCCTGGCTGGGAGCATCTGTCTCATCAAGAAACTCCACAGGGGAAAAGAGATTCTGTCAGAGGAAAGGAAGTTTGAACATGAAGAGAAAGAAAATGCACGTAAGGACCTGGGGAGAGAACGTGTGAAATAAAAGCAGAATATCAAAGAAAAGGTAAAAGAGTGGGAGGACAGGTCACTGAAAGGACACGGCTGTGACAGGTGGAAGCTTGGGAACAGCAGAGGCACGCATCACGGCAGCAGCGAGGGTGGAACTCTGTCCCGCAGCTGGTCCCTCAGGGCTCTCTGTCTTCCACTCTGCAAACCTTGCACTCACTGACCTGGCTACGCTCAGTGCTACATTGTTGGACAAAAGCGAGCCTAGAAACGTAGTGGTACTGTCCAGCCACCTGATCCTGTGTCATTTCTGGTTTCCTGTGCTTCCCAAGGTATGGGGCAGGGGCCGGTAGTGTTCATGGAAAGGGCCAGTCCTGCATCATTTAACACACACCCAGCCTCTCAGTTCTGTTGAGGACATTACTTTGTTTCTGTTTCTTTTTTAGAGCAACTTCAAGAAGAATTGCGTAAGTTTAACCTTTCCTGAACCACTCAATGCACGAAGTGTGTTCTGCTCAGTCAGCCGTTACCTCGCGACATTCACCTCTGTGTCTGTCCCTTGCAGGGTGGAGAAGAACCCTCCTACATGCTGGTGAGCACCTCTGACATTCCCTCAGACCCTGAGCTTCTCCCCATTAGCCAGCCAACAGGACCCTAGAGCAGATGAACAGGGGGCCCAAGGCTGGGTGGGGGGCATCAGGGTGCTGGGGTCGGTTCACCAGCAGTGTCCCACCTGCGCTGGATCCCGGCTCTTCTGTCAGGGATTCCTGCAGCTCCTAATCAACCCTACAGTTTACTCCCCATGATCCTTTCTTTTTTAGGTTAGAATTTTTGTTTGTGATAACTAGTGGTCTCCCACATGTAATGACCCTCCCCAAGAGTTCTGTTTCAGTAGTTGTTGCTCTTGGATTCTGGATTAATTTGAAAGAGGACGGTGCTGGCTTAGCTCTTTATAAACTGGGAGTTGGTGTGGACTTGGCACATTGAAGGTCCACATGAGTAAAAAGGTATAAGCTTCCCCAATATACCCAACTCAAGAGTTTATAAATAGGTAGCCAGAAATGCCTTCTTGCTCCCAAGAGGGCACTGATTACTCTACATGTAGTCAGCCAGATGGAGGGGTCAGGCGAGTGGGAGAACACAATCCAACTTCCCACTCCTAATGAGCACTTTGCATTTCATGATTTGTCACTTTCTGCACATAAGCACCAAAGAATACAGGGTCTACCTGGTAACATGACAGGAGGATCTTTCCTATTTAGGTGAATTTTTAAATTATGACAGTCAACTTGCAACAAAATCAGAAGTTGTCACAATCCAACATAACAACTCGGGGAAAGGAGGAAATCTTATTAACACAATAGAAAGACAGGCTGAATGACTAATAATAAATGCAAGTTAGACAGGTCTGCAGAATGTCCAGGGTCTGAAGTATTTCCTACACCCATGGAGGTCATAGCTGTAGACTTCAGACCCATGTTGTTAAAGCAAAATGGGATGGAACTATTTCCCCTCTATGTTTGCCCCACACACCTCTCAAGCACCAGGTTGGCTTTCAGGAATATTTATCATCACTTTTTACCCTTTGAAGGGTGCCCTTGTCAGTCATTTAATTAGTTGCCACCTGATTAAAGTAACACAGGACCAATGAAGAGATCCCATAGCACCCAGGACATTGTGTAGTGAGAGACTCACCTTAATTGTTTTATGCGGTGGGGGGCAGAAGAAGCAAGACCTAAAGCTGTTTTGCCGGTTTAAACCGAGTCAGAGTGTTTCTAACTAAAGAGAGGCCCAGAGATCATATGTCTTGAATAGAAAAGGGGTCAGGTCTGAGATTTCTGAGAGAAAGTAGGAATCATTTTATTTTTTTTGGTGGGGTTGGGAGGCTGGCAGGAAAGGGGATCCAAACCCTTCACCGTGGTATTACAATTCTGCACTCTAATCAACTGAGGTAACCGGCCAGCCTAAGAATCATTAATTTGGGCTCATTTGCTATTTTTCTTGATTTCTTGGCACCCCAATTGCCTTCTGCCTGAGGGCACTGCTCCTGTCTCTGGAGAGACTGAAGTGGAGCCTCAGGAATTCCTAGACTGTGAGTTGCCTGGGATAAAGTGGTCTTCATGAAAAAGGCCACCACATGGGGGATCCCACCCCAGCTTTCTGGGACCTCTCTAGGACCAGGGATCACACAATCTCCAAGGGTCCTGAGACCCCAGGTCTAATCCTGAGTCTTCCTCTGCAGCTGATGTGGCGCTGGATCCAGACACCGCTCATCCTGAGCTCTACCTGTCAGAGGACCGGAGAAGTGTGAGGCGGGGCCCTTCCCGGCAGAGGGTGCCTGACAACCCGGAGAGATTCGACTGTCACCCTTGTGTCCTGGGTCAGGAGAGCTTCACTTCAGGCAAACATTACTGGGAGGTGGAGGTTGAAAACGTGATGGTGTGGACCGTGGGGGTTTGTAGAGACAGTGTTCAGAGAAAAGGACAGGCCCTCCTGGTCCCTGAGAATGGCTTCTGGACCCTGGAGATGTTTGGAAACCAGTACCGGGCCCTGTCATCCCCTGACAGGATCCTCCCTCTTAAAGAGCGCCTTGGCCGGGTGGGCGTCTTCCTGGACTACGAAGCTGGAGATGTCTCCTTCTACAACATGAGGGACAGATCACACATCTACACGTGTCCCCGTTCAGCGTTTTCTGGGCCCCTGAGGCCCTTCTTCAGGCTGGGGTCTGATGACAGCCCCCTCTTCATCTGCCCCGCATTCACAGGGGCCTATGGGATCACAGTACCCGAGGAGGACGGCCTCATCCTTCACAGGGCAAAGACCCACAACCGCCCACAGGACCAATGCCCTGGAGTCAGAGAAACATAGAGAAGCCATGGCCACCTCAGCTTCATTGGCACAGTGTCCTCTGCTGGAAAACGGGCCCTTCTTCCCTCTGTCACACAAGAGAACATCTCCAGCTGCCTCCTTCTCACCCACTGCAGGCAGCAGCCCCAGCTCTCCCCTCACTAGGCCATGGGGCAGGGTCCAGTGTGAAGGACGCTGTTGCTGCCACAGGGCTCCCATGCAGGAGGAAAGTGTGTGAAGGTGACAGGCTGAAAACCTGCTGCTTTAACATCAGGGTGACATGTTCAGCCTGAAGCTGTAGTTGGCATTAGACAGTGTGGACTTGGGGAAAGGGCAGCAGGACCCTTGTAATGTGTGAAGAGGGAGGGGGCCACAGAGCTTCCTGAGGGAAGGAGGAAACCACACATGGAGTCTCAGCTGGCGGAAAGGGACATTTCCTAAGAGAGCTGGGAGGGAGCCAAGGCTGTGTGCATGTTTCAGGTTCACCATGACAGCTACATGGCCCAGGATCTGATGGCCCGTTTCTACCCAATCCCAAAGATTTCCAGATCACAAGGTAAGGTCCCCCAGGCCTAGAAGTGGGATGAAGGAGGATGAAGGAGAAGGACTTCTCGAGATCTGGCCTGCCTCAGGTATACCTGCAATAGGAAGTCAGTTCTCAAGCATTGAGTCTTACGGTCCTGGCAGAGCAGATGCGTACTGAACCATGTCTACCACCGGTGTCAAGATTCCTGGTCTCAAGATGCCTGTAGACATGAAAAATTACTGAGGACCCTAATAGCTTTTACAAATTTGGGTTCTATCTTTAATATTCATGAAATTAGAGATTAAAACTGAGAGATTTTAAAAATATATTTTAAATTAAAATAACATTGATAAACAATTATAGTTCAATATACTAGTATGTTTTATGAAAAGTAACTTCTTTCTAAAGCAAAATAAATTCTATTGAAAATTGTGTCATTGTTTATCTTTTTCCAAACTTAATGTCTGTCTTAATAGAAGACAAGTGGATCCTCAAGGCCTTTGTATTCAATCTGTTGGGAAACCACAGATCATATAGGCTCAAGAACAGGTTACTGTACATTAGCGAGAGAATGACATTGAAGCAACAAATAATGTTACTATTATTATTATTATGGAAATAGTATTAACCTTGTGGACCCCTTGAGAGTATACCAGGGGTCTGGCTACTTAGTTCAGCTGGTTAGAGCATGGTGGCATAATACCAAGGTCAAGGGTTCATATCCCTGTACTGGACAGACATAAAAAAAGTAGAAAGTATATCAAAGATCCCCCAGAACTCCCCAGACCATATTTGACAACTAGGAGAAAAGATACTGGAACTGAATTAGTGTGATGGTTAATTATATGTGACTACTTGACTGCATTAAGGAATACCTAGAGAACTGGTGAAGCATTATGTCTGAGTGTGTCTGTTTTGGGAGGATATCGGCATGTGTGTCAGTGGACTGAGTGGGGAAAGTCTGTCCTCTGTGTGGGCGACACTATCCAATCACTTGGGACCTGGACAGAACAAAAAAGGCAGAGGAAAGGGGAATTCTTTCTTTCTCTCTTGGAACTGAGACATCCTGCTTCTCTTGCTCTTAAACATCAGAACTCCAAGTTCTCCAATGTTTGAACTCCAGGACTTGTACAATTCCAGGGTCTCTAGCTTGAAGAGGCCTGTCATGGCACTTCATAGTTTCCATAATCATGTGAATTAATTCCCCTAATAAATTCAGTGCCCTGTATCTATATCTATGTCTATGTATCTATCCTGACCGTTCTCTCTCTGGAGTACCCTGACTGATAGAATCCAGGCTTCAAAAATTCTGACTTAAATGGTAGTATTTTGGATATTAGATAATTCAGCAATCCACTTGTAAAACTGAGCTAAAAGAAGTTTTTCATTGTTGTCTTTTTAATTGAAAATAAAACAATTCTATATACTTAAGACAAGTAGCATCCAGAGTGGATGCATTTATTTTTTAGATGCAAATGTATCACTCTTCAACACATGTGCAATGGTTATACGTTTTTAAAATTAAGTCAACCAGAGAGAATTGGAGTCTCCTTGATTCATATTGTTCAATCCTTCAATGCAGAGCCTCGGCATTTCACACTTTAAACACACCAGAAAGGGACTCTGGGGTGAAGAACCTATATCACGTTCAAAAAGGAGAGACTTTCTTATATTGTCTGGGTTTATGGAGAACAAACAAAATGATTGCTCCTGTATTACATGAAACACTAAATCCAAAGTAGGAATTCTAACAAGGAATGGGCCGGTTCTGTTCTTTTATTTTCCTATCTACAGCCCCACTGTACTGAAACAAATTGTATTAATGGCCCCAATGTGAACAAATTTACACATGCCAAACACTGCATCTTATTCATTATTACAGATAAACAACACAAAATGTGAATTAGTAATCTGAACTAAAGGCTCCAAGTCTTAAGTGTCCAAGAACAATCAGAAAAAGAAAAAAATGTCAAATACTTTAAGCATTAATTTTTCATACTCCTAAAACTATAAAATAAGGTCTTTGTATAAATAAAAAAATTCACTTCCATCAAACACAAGCCAATGAATTGCATTAGAAATCCTTAAATATTTTAAACACTTATGCAACACAAGTGTACATAAATTTCTGTTAATGCGAAAAATATTGCAAACAAAAATAATTTATGACTGTATCGTGTTAACTATTAGTGTATAGTATGTATTTACCCTACCAAGTGTAGTAAAAATGAACAATGGGGTCATTTTACGTAAGTAAAACAATGATCCTTTAATGGACATTAAATACCTGCTTTTAATAACTTTTTTGGGTTTTGGCTTTGTAATAAATAGGTAATAAATATCTGCAGTACATTGTATATGTTGAGAGCTTATCTTTCTCCATTTGAAAATCTTTCTCCAGAGTCATAATGTCTTAAAGGCATCCCAGTGGACAGGGATTTTGCAGCAAGTCCATTAACAAAGCAATCTTATCATCTATATGCTCCTGGAGTTTATATATTCGCTGATCAATGTAGTCTATAAGTTTCTTTTCCACCAATTTCGTATTTTTAGAAAGAATCTTTTCCAAGCAGGAACAAACAGGTTGCTCTTCCATTCCAACACCAAGAATGGTTTCACTGGCCTGGTAATGTTTCCCTGTCACTCAGCTTTGTGTCTCACAAGGAGATGGTTAACTTGACTATATAAATTCTATAGAAAAAGCAGCAACTCAGAGTTAGGTATATTTGAGTTGTCACTGGCTTTCTTTGGTAAGAAATACTACATTTTCAAGATCATTTTCAAGAAGGGAATGGTTTGGTGGCACAATTTTACACTCGTCAAGGTTTAGAGTATTTCCTCCACTGGGTGGCTGTGTACTTTTATCAATGCAATCTTTTAAGCTTTCAGTCATATTTTCAGATGTCAGTCCAGTTCTAAAAGGCAAAAGTGTGGAGGAAGACTGGTCTAAGGCTCCTGAAGTAGATGATGCTTGTAGTATACGCTTGTACGCAGTATTTCCCAACACTGATGACACTGCTCCCCAATGGGAGTACAGTTCTGCTGCTGAAACCTAACCATATTCATCCACTGCTGAGCTCCAGGTCATAACTTTGACCCCATGGACTCCATCATGGTTTGGACCTTGTTAAGGTCTATCTTTGATCTTAGGGCAGGAGAGCTTGGTGAAGAATTTGCTGAAATTGGTCTCATGTGTACCACAACTACTGATGAGCACACACTGCTTTTCACCAAAGGAAAGCAACCTTCTTCTTGTGATGATGTGAGATGATCAAATGCCTACATGATGTGATGAGCTGATGTAGGCTTTGTGACGTGACATTACGCTACTGTTGGCCTTCCGAAGATACCTATGGCCACTAAGTGACTGATGGGCAGTAGCATATACAGCGGGGGTAACTTTTATTTTACATGTGTTTGTAGCAGACTCCAATTTTAGATATTTTTTTGTACAAAATAATCTTTTCATGATCACCATCCTACAGGACAGTACTGTTTTTGCCCCTACTGGTGCCACAGTACTCCTGTCCTAGGTGTACTTCCAGATTTCTTGCTTAACTTAAAATGCCAATAGAAACGATTTCTTCACCTCCTTAGGGTCACACCTCAGGTAAAGGAAGCAGTGTTTTTCATCTTGGCTGTTCAGGCTTCTCTTCAAAATCACCAGATCCTGGCCCAGAGCAGGAGGGGCCAGCAGCTCCTCCCAGTCGAAGTCCAGGGCACCAAGACAAGCCGTGATAAGAAGGAGGCTCTGGGTCAGGGCCCTGCCTGCGGCCTCCCAGGAAGAGGCCAGCATCAGGTGGGGGTCAGTCCGCCACCCTTTCTCCTGGTCTCCATTCTTCAGCCTACAGCCAGGTTAGCCCTCTAAAAGTTTTTAAATCATCCAAAATTGTATTACTGCACGTACAAATGGGCACATTATAGAAAGAATCAGGAATATACTGAAGTACCTGAATTGTTAAGATGGAAGACCAGGTTGTTGATGTTTATGTGAAAATCTGTTTAGTGAGCTATAACAAAAGTACCAATACTGGATTGTTTATAACCAAGAGAAATGTATTTTCCACACTTCTGAAGACTGGGAAATCCAAGATCAAGGTATCAGCAGATTGGTGTCTGGTGAGGACCCGATTCCTTTTTCATAGTCTTTTTGTTATATCCTCACATGGTGAAGGGACAGTGTAGTTCCTCACAGTCTCCTTTATAAGGGTGATAATCCCATTCATGGGGGGGCTCCCCACACCTCAGAAAGAAAATAGAAGGAGGAGATTTCAATGTTCCTGCCCCCTTCCCTCACCTGCACCTTCCCATTCTGATTTGTTTCCTCTGATTTCAACAGGGCAGCTGTCCTTCCTTTCTTCTGTCTGAGGCTGATCCTTCGCCCCCATCCTGGACCACCAACTCCCCAGCTTCCCCCAGGGCTTCTCTGTTCAGTCTATTCATTCATTTATTCAACAAGGAATCGTGAGCACTAACTATAGCACAGATCAGTGTTCTAGGTACTGGGGGCACAGAAGTGAACATAACAGAAAGATGCCTTCCCAAAGAACCTAACTTTGAGGATAGGAGACAGGCAAAAAACTGAATAAGTAGTTAAATACATGGTGTGTTACATGGTGATAAGTGCTCAAGAGGTAAATAAATTAGAGTAAGAAATATCTGTAGTTGACATCTAAAACAGGGCAGTGATGAACAGGAGGAGCAGGCCACAGGAGCACCAGGGGGAAAGCATTCCATTAGAGAGAACAGCAGTGCCAGAGCCAGAGGCAGAAGTGCGGGTGGCATGTGCCAAGATTGGCAATGAGGCTGGTGTGACTGGAACACACGGAGTAACCAGAAGGATGGGATGGGGCAATATCAGAGGGGTCTGAGGACCAGATCACATATGGCCTTAAAAGTCATCGTGCTAGGCTGGCCCATGGCTCACTTGGGAGAATTTGGTGCTGATTACACCAAGGCCATGGGTTCATATCCTTATATAGGGATGGCCGGTTAGCTCACTTGGGAGAGCATGGTGCTGACAAAACCATGTCAAGGGTTAAGATCCCCTTCCTGGTCATCTTTAAAAAAAAAGTCATTGTGCTGACCTTGGCTTTGCCTCTGGGAGAGGAGCCACTGAAGATTTTGAGCAGAGGAGGGACTGGATCTGACCTGTGTTTTAAGAAGTTATTTCATATGTTAGAGTGATGTGGAAGAATGAGTGGAGCATGGAAGCCCGAAGACCAGCTGGGAGCTCGTGCAGTGATGCAGGTGATAGATGAGGATGACTTGTACCATGGGGAAGCCTTTAGGGGTGGGAACTCGTTCAGTGCTGGATTTATCTTACAGATAAAATAAAAAGGCTTTGCCAGTAAAGTCAGATGTGGACTGTGAACAAAGGAATGTTTCAATAGCTGGAAAGATGAAGTTACTAGTTTCCAAGGTGGAAAAACTGAGAGGCAAGGTACAAGAGAGGAGGTAGCGCCGAATCTCAAGCTCAGTTATGATACATTTAGACTGAGAAGCCTGTTAGAGTTCCACATGGAGATGTAGAGTGGGCAGTCAGATAATCAGTAGTGCAGTCCACCTCAGAGGTCAGGGCCACAGATAAATATTATGTACTAAACTTTGCTATATATTTGAAAAGTTTCATGATAAACAGGTGGGGATAGGGAGAAGAACTGCATTTTGCTCTTGATAAGAGAGGACTGATTACCAGTGGCTTTGACAAAACAAAGGTTTAGTTTTTGTCACATAAATAAATTCAAATGGTGGGTGCCTAGAGCTCTTCTGGGACCTCGGAGATGTCATCCATGCCCCAGTGTCCAGTATTTCTTCTCTTCTGTCTCAGCGTGTGCCTTCATCTTAAAGTTGCCTCATGGTCACAAGATGGCTGCTGACCCTCTTGCTCAAATTCTATGTTCTAGACGTGAGGAAGGAGGAAATAGGAAGAGTGGAAGGGTCTTCCTGCTATCTTAGCCTCCCCTTTTAAGGATCTCTCTGAGAAACACAACTTCCACCCTCAGTCCACCGGCTGAAACTTAGTCCTTTGGCCTTCCCTAATTACAAGAGGAATGGGCACGTTGCAATAACAACAAAATGGGATTTTGTTAATAAGAAAAGTGAATACTGGATATTTTACAAGCCAGCTCGACAATACGGCTTAAATTCAAATTGTTGTAGGAGAATAAAGTTCCAACAGCCAAGGTTAAAGCTAAGTCATAGCAGTTACAATTACTTTAGGGGTCAGTTTTATGACCTACATAATGTATGGACCTTTATTTTTGCTCTGTGACTCAAATAAAGTTGCAATTGCTAGGTCCCAAGGTTTGTCTCAAGGACCGCTTACATAGACACCATTCATAGTTTACCCAAAGTTTAACCTCAGAACATGGTCCACTGCCAGAGTGAGAAATAAATACACATGAAAACACAGCATAGCACAAACAAGGAGCTGAGGCTGAATGAAGATGCTCAATAACACCCAAAATAATTTTATGACAATGTAAAACATTCCAAGTAGTCACTGGAATCACTGCCTCTGGACAACAGAAAATGATGTAATTTGGTAGGGATCTGGGATCTGAATTTTGTAGGTATTGAAACAGGAAGAATGGGTTTGTTTTCATTCCATTTATTCCTTCATGTGGCTCTGTGGTTGAAGGTCATAATCTCCATGCATGGGCAAATGATATCAACACATTGCTACAGTACCATTTTAGTTCATATACATCTTCTTCTCTTCTCTCATTAATTTTTTTAAAATTTTTCTGCACAGTTCTGCTGATATTTCTATTACGATATAAAGGACATGGAGCAGGTGAGTATAAACACTGACTCTACACATATACACATTGATTCAAACAGGTAAACAGAGATAGAAACACTATGGGTCTTAGAAACACTATGGGAATTTTTCTTCAAAGTGTACAATTTAATGCAATTTTAACTTAGATTGAACCTTCCCCAGTGGTGTCTGCTGAGCATCTGCTAAGAGACACCCACCTCTGAGCCAATCAAAAAACTGAATTGTCGGAAGAGATCCTGTTTCCACTCAGAATGCGTGTAGAACACAGGCTTTTTTCCTTTTCCTTTATTCCAGGGTAGAGAATCTTCACTATAACGGAAAGGATAGTGTTAAACTAGACTAGGTGTTTTTTTGTTGTTGTTTTGTTTCCCACCTGACCTTTACCTGGGTGCTGTAACCCCGCCCTCTAACCCAGCGAACGCACCGGCCCTTCACTACACTTGGCCTGAGGGGGCCTCCGTACCGCGCCCTTCCTTACTGAACTCCGGGGAACGTAAAGGGAAGTGTAACCGGGAGAAAGGAGGAGCACCGGCACCCGAGACCGACTCGCTCGCGGGCCACCAACTGATCAGGTCTTGCTCAGATGGGACAAATGCCTGGAGCTGTAACCAATCGGGCTGTTTCTGTCCCTCGTTTCCTTTTTTGTTCGGTAAATGCCGCAGCGTCACTGCCCACTTTGTGCAGCTGGGCTTCCTGAGCATCTTGTGGTTTCACGGCCGCCCATTTGCACGTGGTTCTTTGCACAATAAATTCTGCTAAGTTTAATTTGTCTGAAGTTTTAGTTTTAGGAATGGAGAGCTCTTGATTGCCTTTGTTCCGTGGGCTGTGATTTTAGGAGGACTGCCAAGGGGTAAGTGGGGAAAATGAACACAAGCCAGGGCTGCAAGGCCTGGAAGGAGAGGGGCTGAGAGCTGGGTGGGCATGCAGGGACGCGCTCGCACAGAGAAAGGGGTGAGGGGCTTGAGTGTGCTGGGTGGGGAGGATACAAAGGATGGGGACCTGCAGAGTTTGAGATTTGGTGGAAGCGGGGAAACCTGAACGCAGTAACTCTCCAACTGCATGTTCTTAGCAAGTAACTATGGTCAGAAGGGACTAAAAGATACTTAACATATCTCCTGGTCACCTCTGAAATATATTCCAAAAGGTTCTAAAAAGAGATGTGCCTTAAAGATTTTTATGAATATTGTAAATTTTAAAAACTCCCAATTTTTCTGATGCCTCCACATCCCCATTGAAAGAAAGTGAGCCAAGATGCCGGGTGTCGTTCGGGGCACATGGCTGCCCTGAAAATGGTGGACAGCCCCAACACTGGGTTCGCGAGAGTTATATTAGGTTTTTGGCGCAAAATTTACAGGGAGAGGGACCATTAGGTTGATGTAACTGGGTTGAGAACTGCACGGATGCAGAAGCTGGAAAGTTGTTTCTAAGTCGGGAGCCTTCTCTAAAGGGAAGGGGGGAGGGGAGGAGGTGGGCGGCGCCATTTTGTACTTGGGCTTGTCTAAAGTGGCGCTGGTTATGTTGCAGATCTATTATTCCTGCCTTTTTAGTATAGGAAAAAGGGCGGTGGTCTCATTCTTCTGAAGCTACTTCCTGCTGGAGATGGGCGAAGATATGGAAAAAATCAAAGATTTAGGTGGCGGTGTACTGGTTTCGTGTGGGGAGGCTGTATTCCTCCCGGGAAGGGTCGCTGATTCTGAGGGGCTGATATCCTCCTTGCAGGGATAATTCGGTGACCTTTTGGTTGGTGAAAGCCTGCATATGATCCTGCAAGAAATTAGAGAAACACTAAAAGAGACAGGGGCCAAAAAGTAGGATGAGGCACAGTTAGGGGTCCTAGTAGGGACATAAGCCAGGGTATCCCCAGGGTTCGGTGAAATGGTTTAAGTTGTTTTGGATCCCCTGGACTCATTTATGTAATAACAACATTCCTCCTCCGAGAAGAGGCAGGTGCCTTCCTTCTCGCCTGTAAGGAAGTAAAGGGCCCCACGTTCTGTAAAGTGACTGTGGCAAGTGAGGTGCCCTGTCACTGGAGGGAGGAGATGCTCTCTATGCTTAGTTCTTCTGAGAGTTTTGATAGAATTGAGAGGCAGTAGCAGGGCCTGCTATGCCAGTCCCAGTTGCAGGAAGGATCCCTGCCCCAACTAAAAGGTACAATTAGTGCTCTAGGGGAGCAGGGGCACTTCCTGAGAGGGAGGGGCTGAAGTTAGTCCCAGTCCCCTCTGTCTGGACGGTGATGTTAGGGGCGAGCCAAATGATTATGCAAGAAATCGAGTTGGGGGCAGGCAACAGGATAACATAGTTTTACAAAGGAAACATATTCCGGTTTTAGGGCATGGTCGAGGAGGGGTAAGTGAGTGTTAGCGTTTGGTTTTAGTGAGGCAGTGTGTGGGCAGGCCCTGCACAGCGCTCACAGTCCCCACTGAGGTGAGATTAGAGGAAAGTGAAGAGACATTTGTGGAAATGTTATGGGCTGCATTGACAGGGAGGGGGGTGACCACAGAAAGTTTCTCACAAAGCAGAAGACAGATGAGTCACTCAGGGTCCTGTCTGATTCACTGAGGACTGCATCGTCCCTGCGGACCTGGAACCTCCATGTTCCAGGTAACGGGGAGCATTGAGATAGGAGGAAAAACTCAGGAAGGATGTGAAGGGTTAGGGAGCCAAAGGAATTTAAAGGGCACACAATGAAATTGCTAAGAAGCATCCTACCGATAGGAGGTAAAGAATTGCCAGGAGAGAAATCTTCCTATAATGTTACACTGCTCTGGGGCAGCTGCCAATCCTGTAACAAGTACTAGAACAGATACTATAATAGTAGCTCTTGTGCAAGGGACGTGAAGCAGGCCTGCAAGAGTGAGAGGATAATCACCGGAGGAAAGACCATCCTTCTTCTGGGATTGGGGGAAGAGCGGAGGTCCTGGAGATTTTCAGTTTTGTGGGTCCTAAAATGGGTGAAGCGTGAGGAGAGATGTTGGGTTGGGGGTTGAGCGGAGGGACCCCTCTGGCTTGCTGTCACCAGATTTTTGGGTAAAGTCTCAGGTGCTAGTTTTACCAAGGATAAACGATAACAAGGGGCCTTTCTTAGTACTTTTACTGCCGTGGGGCTGGCGAGTACTGTATAAGGCCCTTCCCAACGTGGCGAGAGAGGCTTTGGGATTCAGGTTTTAATATACACTTGCTGTCCTGAGCTCAGTTTAAAGTCTGGGAGGGTGGTGGGGAAAGGATGAGGTGATAGAAGGTTGGTCTGTTCCCTAAGAAGATCTCTAATGAGCGAAAGAGTAGGGAGATACTGGCCTAAAGGCGATGAGCTGGAAGGGAGAGGTGTGAGAGTGAAGGGCCTACCCTACATAAGTTGGAGGGGGCTGAGGCCCGTGGGGCTTGCGGGGGGCAGCCCGTAAGTGAGTGAGTGACTGGAGGGGAGGCCAAAATGAGGGATGATTTCTGAGGTGAGAGCATGCGTTACTGCTGTAGCATCCTGTGAAGTGCAGGGAAAAGCCTCAACCCAACCTGAAAAGGTATCTACTAATGTTAGAAGATAGCATGTGCTTTGTGGGAGAGTAATATAAGGGCTGAAGAAGGCGTAGTAGGAGTTCATAGCCTATATGAACTGAATTATGGAAATCTGAAAGGATTTGCTCGGCTTGTGTGGTAGGGAGGACATAACAACCAGAGAGAGTATACCAGTTGTCCTTTCTCTGTGCCCCCAACTGTTGAAGGTGTTGTATTTCTTGGAGCGTGTATTGGGATAAGCGCTTAGGGGCCATGAGAAGGACCTGAGCAGGAGAAGAAGAGTGGGGGCTGGTGATTGAGCAGCCTATTTTGTGGTTAGATCTGCCAGTTTGTTTCCCTGAGCTATGGGGTCATTGGAGAGTTAGTGTCCTCTGAAGTGTATAAGCCAAACCTCCTTTGGGAGCTGTGCAGCCTCAATAGCTTGTGTTAGATTTACTATGGCATAACCTGCCCGGGGGGCGGGCGTGGCGGTGGCGCTCCCGTCTATGAACCCTGTAATAGGATATGGGGAGATGTGTGGAAAGGGACTGAGAAAGAGGTCTAAAGTTTCCATGCAATTGTGTTCTAAGGGTCATGAGTGTTTTGGGATGAGAGTGGCTGGATTTTAAGGGAGGGCAAGGTTTAAAGTAGAACTGGGAGTTTTCGATGAAAGTAAGGTGAATAAGTTGTAGGTGGGAAAGGGAAAGAATTGACTTGGACTTATGGCTGAGAAGGTCTTGACTGTTTATTGTTTAAAAGTTAGTTTAGAGCTTTCTTATGCTGAAAGGGCGGCTGCCACCACAGCCTGTAAGCTGGGGCCCATTCTTGAGATGTGGCATCTAGTTGTTTAGAGAGGTATGCAACCGGGGAGAAAATATCTCCTGCCTTTTGTCCCAAAACCCCAACTACCAATCTTTGGGTTTTGGTGATGTCAGGATAAAAGGATGAGATAAGTTTGAGAAAGATACAGCTGGGACTGTAAGGAGAGCAGCTTTTAATTGCTGGAAGGGAGGATGAATGAGCATTATGGGATCTAAAGGAATGGCAGGATCCCCTTTGGCTACCCCATAAAGTGGCTTTGCTAGCACGCCAAAGTTAGGAATTCATAGATGAAGATGCCCTGCATGCCCCAAGAAAGAAAGGATTTCACCCTTTGCAGTAGGAGTACGGAATTAAGAAATTAGACTCTTGAACTGAAGGAGAAGAAATTTTGGCCTCATTGGGGGACACTGGATATCCCCTGGAGGCCAGGAAATTAAGGAAAGCAATGGTGTGGGCCTGTGAATCCTCATAGGAGGGGCTACAAATGAGGAGGCCATCCACATACTGTATTAAAGTGCTAGAGGTTGGGGGGGAAGTTCAGATAAGTCTTGAGCTAAGGCCTGGCCGAAGAAGTGGGGGCTCTCCCGAACCCCCTGAGGCAGTACTGCCCAAGTAAGTTGTTGGGAACGACATGTGTCAGGATCAGTCTTGTACTAAACGGGATGAGCCGCTAGGCTTTAAAACTGGAAGGATGGGTGTATTGAAAGGCGAGTGGGTGGGCCGTGAGAGATGACAAGAAAGGAGTTTGTGTATGACGGGTTTTAAGCCTAATAGGTGTTTGTTAGTGATGAGGTATTGTGGGACATTAGGGAACAAAGAGGGGTTCAGCAATTTAACAAGGATAGGGGAATGGTGCATGGCAATGGAGGGAGAAGTGTCCCATACTAGGGATTAACCTTGTCTGAGAGGGAGGGGAAGGTGGAAGCCCCAGGGGCCAGGTCTGGGGCATCCTGTGACAGGAGTATTGTAGCTGGAGTTAAAGTATTTAGGGTAATAGTAGCTTTGAATTTGAAAAAAATGTCCCATCCCAGTAAGGGGGCTGGGCATTGAAGCATTTTAAAGAATTTGTGTGTGGATCGGGTGTGATGTAGGGTGCAGGAAAGGGGTTGGGTGATCCGTGGGTGGTATTCTGATCCCATGACCACTATATTGTGATAGAGGATGGGGTTGTTGGTCCTGCATACTTAGGAAGGGTAAAGTAAATGGCTCCTGTATCAATGAAAAAGAGATCAGCTTACCTGCTACTATGTGAGTTACCGTGGACTCACGCGTGGTGATCTCCATGGGGGCCTCAGACCCTGGGCATCGTCAGTCCTCCTGGGCAAAGCTGAGAAGCTCCAGTAGGGATGGCCCTGAAGCCAAAGGCTGTAGGTTGGGGACTGGGCCACTCCCTCTCTGGCGAGTGGCACAATCAGTCCCCCAGTGACCTGGTCATTTGCAGTGAGGACGGGTTACAACAGGCCCATGCTGAGTGGCCCAGTTGATTGCATTTGAAGCAGTTCTGGGTGCCTTGTCCCTTGAGGTAGGCAGCTTTGGAGTATATGAACCTTGGATGGCATTAGCCAGGAGCCGGTATTTGGCCTGATCTCTTTTATAGTTTTTATAATATCAGGGGCTGATTGGGTAATGAAATGAGAGTGTAAGAGGGCCATGCCTGCAGGGGAGTTTGGATCTATACATGTGTATTCACGTAAAGCCTCAGAGAGACGGGTTAGGAACTTGCTGGGATTTTCAGTGGGTCTCTGTGTGATCTCTCTAAACTTCTCATAATTGACTGACTTGTGAGTAGCCTTTTGGAGGCTGTGAAGTAGGTGTGTGATCATATTATCCTGGAGATCCCGATCCCCATGGCCAGCCTGGTAGTTCCAATTTGGGTCCGTACAAGGAACAGCAACGGCTCCCACAGGCCACCTACTATTTTGAGCATGTGCCTGAGCCGCCATCCCGACCTGCTCCCTGTACGTGGACTCAGACAATTCCTTCCATCCCAGCCACTTCGTGGAAAGGTTATAAAAAGCTGGAGCTTAGGCGGGGTTGTTACCTGAGAAGGGGGAGAAGGAGAGGAGTTGGGCTGAGGACGAGCGTGTGGAGGCCAGGTGTGGGGAAGAGAGAGAAATGTGGAGGGCTGACGGATCAGAAGATTGATCTGAGTCTGGAAGGAGAGGTCGAGCATGAGCTAGGAGAATTTGACACATAGGACAGTTTTGACAGAGAGAAGAACATGTTCAGAGATAGAAATAGGCCTAAACAAGGAATCTCTACAGCTTTTGCCGTTTTGGTGAGTGTCTGAATTGAGTACCATCTTGCAACCACTGGGATCCATTGTAAGAGGCATTTGAGTTTTAATGTCTCCCTGGAGGCCGAGAAATTGGCCAGGAGACGGCCCAGAGGCATAAGAGCGGCCCAGAGGCGTAGAGCACAGAGTACAGTAGAAAAGGGGACCATATGTTTAGGTACAGTGTCTCCCTGGAGGCCAGGAAATTGGCCAGGAGACAGCCCAAGGGTGTAGAGTGTGGAGGTTTGGATTGTGAGGATCCCATTTAGAGGGTGAGAAAGGGCAATCAGTCCTGGTAGAAGAAGCATGCCAACAAAGAGCGTCCTCTCTGTTGCCCACCTTCTTTTTGAGAGAACAAAAAGCCAACTGACCGGCTAATGAAGCGCCCTTCAATAGCTTGGGGGTCACGAGAAGGGTTCCCTCGGCCATGCGCCTGGGCTTTCGTAGAGACCTGAGTCGTAGAGAGTAGTTGGGGGAACCATATAAGTAGGCAGAACAGACCCACTGACTCACCCTGAATTGAGGCTGATGTTGGATGCATTGGTCTGAAATGGCAAAAGGAGAGAGTCCCAGGGGTACCCAGTTTGGCAGGTCCGGGAAGGGTGGCCGAGGGCCAGTCACTCCCAGAGAGAGGGGATCATCCGCAATGTCGGACAAAATCCTTCCTGGCTTTCGGCACCATAATGAAAGAAAGTGAGCCGAGATGCCGGGTGCCGTTCAAGCTTTATTAAAGAAAGAAGTCTGCGGGCCGGCCCGGTGGCGCACTGGGTAGTGCGCCGCTTGGGAAGCGCGGTGGCGCTCCCGCCCGAGGGTTCGGATCCCACATGCGGACCGGCTCCCGCTCACTGGCTGAGCGAGGCGCGGGAGCAACGCTGAGGTTTGCAATCCCGTTGCCGGTCCCTGGTCCGGTACGGGGGCAACACTGAGGGTTGCGATCCGTTGCCGGACACGGAAAAAGACAAAAAAAAAAAAAAAAAAAAAAAAAAAAAAAAAAA